GGTGGGTGTGCGGGGAGGACACGTTCCCGTTTCCCTGCAGGGGCCTCTGGTTCTCCTGGTTGATGGTCCCATCCTGAATCGGGGCCGATGCCTGACTTGTGTTCCTTCTGCTTCCACAGAAGCTGCTCCCTTCCCTCTCGGCCTCTCTCGAGGACATCTTTACCCACTGGGAAAAGTAAGTCGAAGGAGGGAATGACCATCAGATCGATTCCAGACCGTGTTAGCAGCCCGGCTGCACGGCACGTGTGATCGCTGTTTGCTGGAATGTCCCGTGGCCAGGTTATTTCTGATGATAACTGTGCCTCTGGTTTCAGATGTTAAAAACTACTTTGGTTTAAAACTTCCTGAGCTTGGAGATAAAGTTGTTACTCCAGCTCTGAGAAGCTGATGCTGTTCTTGTGCCTGTTGGAGTTGATACCAGAGTACTGTAGGGCTCAGAGTTATGCTTTGCTGGCAGAAATCTTTCCCACAGTTCTGTTTCACTTTCTTTTTTAAAGCCATGTGCTTTGCAGGAATATTTACCCAAGCACAGGGGATTTGAGCAGATGCTGAAGTGCCAGGGCTCTTATAGGAACTTAAACCTTGACATAGATCAAGTATCATCTGACTCTGAGGAAGTCTCTTGGTTTCAAGCCCTTACATGTTCAGCCCAACGCCTTCCTATGCAGTTGTTCCACTAAGTACCCTACGTGAAGGTCTGCAGTGTGGAGCTTTCCCATCAGTGGGGTGAAACGATGTTTGCACCCACACTGAGCACTGCTGACCCTGTTCTGATGCTGGAGCACAGCACTGCAGAGAGAAGAGGGCTGGTGGCAGCCGCAGGGCCGGGCTATAGGGGGATTGGTGGTGTTGGTTTCTGTGCCCAGGCTGAGGAGTGTTGGACTGAAGATGCTCCTCAGCGTGGCCGTGCCAGCAGCTTTGGGAAGCGGGTGTTTGCTTCAAAGGTGTCTTCTGCTAGAATGGCTCGTGTCTTGGCACTACCCTGGTTCATGTTCTTGTGTCTCCATGATTTTCCTGCTTGAGCAGGAGAAAGACTGGATCTAGCTGAGGATGCAGCAGCATAGAAACAAGCCTGCAGTTCCTCTTTCTAACAATTTATTGCTTTCTTGGGTATTGATGGTGACCTTTCTCTGTGCTAGTTATCCTGGGTGCTACAGCAAACCCTTCCAGATACTGTTTTAAAGTTCAGGGGGTGACAGGCACCTGCATCATGTTTAATTCCTTTTTCTCTAGTGTCATCCTTATGTTGTTGTGACAAGTATGTCTTTTATTCCTGGTCCCCCTGAGTTATGACTGGTTTGGAGTCACAATGAGGGATATATTGACCAGTAGCTTTGTTTATCCAGAAGGTGCCCTGCCTTAGCTGGAGTGCTTTCCTGTGGGTGAGCTGTGATTCTCACCTCTTGTCCCTTCATAGGCTTTTGGCCTGAAAATGTCTTTCCTCCAAGTGTGCCCTGGCTCTTGCCCATCTAACTGAGGCTGTGCTCAGAAACTCTTACAGAGTGAACCAAACAGTTGAGATTTGCGGGTACTAAACAGTGGTCTCCTCCCTCCAGGGCCACAGTTCTTCTTGGAGCCTGTGTGGAAGAGTGCCTGGGGGCAGAGGGAAGCTGGACCAGCTTTCTGTTACTTTATTAAAAGAATTATTAGAGTAATTAACAGGACTTTGTAATAGCAAATGTGCCTTTGGCGTAGCCTGCTTGCAAATAACTTGCTGTTAGAACTGTGCTACTGAAATACTCTAATAGTAAGCACAGTCTTTGCCAGCCAAGTTGTTAAACTAATCTTATTTTAAAATCAGATGAACAAATACAATTTGTGCTAAACTGGCACAAAAATGAGGGGTTTTGCCTCTGATAATTGTGTGTATGGGGGCTTAGAAGTACTGTGTGCGTGAATCACACAGACCTGTGCACAGACAATGTTACTCTGGTAATAAAGCAAGTGTATGACCTGTGTTTTCATTGGAGAATCTTTAAAGATAACTTTAGCCACATCATCTGTTCTGGTTACAGGTAGGATTCAGAGCCTGGAAACATCTTTCTCCAGCTTAATGTTTTAACCCAATTGAACAGCTTAAGTGTTCTTAAGTGAGCTTAATGCTTAGCTGTGGCCTCTTCCTCCCCTTCTTTCAACACAACTTCTGTAGGTCCAGAAGGTTCTTTTCTTAAATCTCTCTGTAACGTGACTTTTCTGTCCTTTTGGCCTGTGGACCCAAGTTCAAATGGCTTCTGCACCCTTTATGTTTGCTTCTCATGGCCTCATGGAATACCAAGACCTGTTTGAGGATCACTGCCCTAACCCTGGGACTGCACTTACTGACTCTCTGGCTATAGGTGCCTCCTGGAGACAGAATTTGTTCTGTAGAATGTCTTTGCTCTGTGGTGAGCACCAGCCTGACCATGGATGTTTTTATTTCTCTGCTAAAGGAACAAAGACTCTGCCTAGGAAGCAGAAATAAAGTCTATGTTCAGTATCTCATCTGAGTATTGCGAGGTTATGTTCTCAAGAGCTGCCTGAGGAAGACTGGAGATGTTCCTTGCAGGTTAGAGGGGTATTTCTGCCACCCCCTTAGGAGCTGTGGAGGAATGACATTGTGTATCCTTAGTCTGGAGCCTGACCTGAGAGCAGATGAATTATTATATTCTCATTTGTTCAAGATATCTTTTTTTCCCCATTTTGATGCAAATTCTGTTCCCTCAGAACTCCCTCGAATTCCAGGAGAAGAAAGGTGAGTGAAGAGGAGACAGCCATCCCAGAAAAGATCAGAGTTCCTGATCCTGTGAGCAGCTCTGAGAGCTCAGACAAGGAAGAGGATGAGAAAGAGAAGGCGAAAGCTGCAAATGGTAGGAGCCTTTCATCTTCCTGGAGTTGACAGAGTAGGACTGGAGGCTTATGTAGGAGCAGCCCGACTAGCTTGGCTAGAGAAAATCCTCGTAAAGGGATGGCTATTCCCTTGTGCTCTTAGAAAAATAGCACTGCTAATTTAGCACCCTCTTCTTATGTGGAGTTTCTGAGGAGCACAGATGTCTGCTGAAGCTAGAAAAAAGCCTGTTATGATTCATTGGGAAGAGACGGGTGTTGTTGCGTGGATGAAGCCTGTGGAGCACCTTCTAGTTGGTCCCAGTTGTGTGTTGGGCCAGGAAAGGCAGGCCTGTTTCATGGATGAGGGAAGGACTTGTTAGTTGGTATGGAAAGCCAGTGCCCTCTCTCTGAGCTGGGGTAGATCCCTGGCCCAGCTGATGTGGGAGGTGTTGGCTTGTGTAGTCTAACAAAAAGACTGACATGTTTTGGCTCAGTCTCATCTGCTGTAGACCAGCCCTTGGAAACCTGCAGATCTTGGCAGGTTCCTTGTCTTGGTGGTGGGGAGAAGGATGGGGTGAAGGAGCAAAGCACTTCCTTGTTGCAAGGACAGCAGCAGTGGAGACGAGATGCTACCCAGTCTGCTGGGGCCTTTCTCCAGACCAGAGGCTGTCTTGATGCGAGAGGCTCTCACAGTTTCTCTGTGGCTCTCTCCTGTGCAGCAGCCAGCCTTTCCCTGGCCGTGAACTCAGGAGTGAATGTAGAAAGCAGTGAAGATGATGACTCCTCATCAGAAGAGGAAACACCAGCTGCAAAAGCTGCAGTTACGGTAAGGCAGGGCTTCTCTTGGCTTTGAAGGCTGATAGTACTCCGAGGCCACGACTGTCCCAGACTCGTTGGCATGTGTAGAGTTGTGGGCTGGTGTAGCTTTCACTGGGGTTGGGATGGCCTGGGAGGATTTTGGAGGTGGCTTTGTCTGGACAAGACAAGAACAGTGTGAAACAAGGCAAATCCCACAGCTGCATAATTCATTTGCTCAAACTGTAATCAAGGGAAGTGATTTCAGAGCCATATGAAAAAATGTTCATATTTAAACAGCCCTCCTATGCTGGCATAAGCCTTCTCTTAGATATCTGTCCCCAAGTGCTTCCCTAAGGAGCTCTATGGCTTGTCCAGCTGCCAGATTGATGTTTAAGGTATGTTGTGTTCAATTTAGCCTTTCATCTGTCTATAGGCTTCTAATTTCTTTTGTTTCCTGTAGGTTACACCAGCTGTGGTGGGTGGCAAAGCTGCCAACTCCCTGCATTCTCCTAACAAACCTGCTGCCCCAGCAGGCAAAGCAGCAGCGCTCTCTGCTGCAAACAGAACTGTGGTCTCAAATAAGCAGCATCCCAGTGTGCCAGCTGCACCAGCTGCATCTGCAGCTCCAGCCAAGGCTGGGCAGAAACTGCCCGCTCCTGGGAAGCCTGGACACACCACAACAGCCACAGCCAAAGTAGGTCAAAGCAAAGCACCAGTAACGACCAAAGCACCAGAAAGCTCCAGCAGCAGCAGCTCCTCCTCATCAGAGAGTGAGGAGGAAAAACAGATGCCGACTGCAAAGGCCCCAGTGCCCAAAGTGGGTAAGGAGCTTACGGGGTGTGGGAAATGCATGTGTGGTGCTCCGGCTTTGCTGTGAATCGGATCTCAGCCATGTCTTCAGCGTGTTCCTTTCAGCTCCCTCACTGGAAAGCTCACAGTGATGCTTGTTCCTTGGGGAGCTTGTGAGAATACTGCAAAGCAGCCAGCTCCAGAGCTCTGTGGGATGAATCCAGCATGCTTGCTCCCATTTCAAGCAGCAGGTTCTGTTCTAAGATGTCTGTCTGGCAGCACCCAGTGCTATGGGGTTGGAGATGACAGCATAGTGTTATCTGGAGGAGATGCAGTACTAATACTGCAGAGGCTTTCAGCTTTTTGGAAAGGCACTGCAGCATCTTCTCTTTGTTCACAGTTGGAAAGTGATTAGGTTTTGGTTTTGAATTCTTTGGGGAAATCTCTCTTACTGCTTTGAAGTGTGTGTGTGTGGCGGGGGGTGAAGAATAGATTGTAGAAGCTCTGGAAATGGTTCTTCTCTTGGCTCTTTTCCAGAGGAGGCCCAGGCAGGCTGGGTGCCCCTGCAGGGAGCTGTGTGTAGCTGGGCAGCTCCCCATAGGGTCAGAGGGTGGCCAGGAAGGATTTACCATCTCTTCCTGCACTCGATGGAGTGGTGTCTGTGGGGCAATGTTTGTCTGGAGAAGCTGTTCCCAGCAGACCACTGGTGCTTTCAGCGGGGCCCTCTTCCCTTCAAATCCCCATAGCCCTCTTTGCGGCTTGTTTTGTTTTCCTGACTTCAAAAGCCACATTAGCATCGTGCTCTGGGAGCTCAGAGCAGCTGTGACATCTCCTCGCTTGTGTTTCAGAGCCGAAGCAGGCAGCTGGGGCTGCTGAGAGCAGCAGTGAGGAATCAAGTGATGAGACATCCTCTGAGGAGGAGCTCGCAACTCCAGCGGTCCAGGTAACTTCTCCAACCCAGGGTCCTTGTCTCTAGGAAATCACTTCTCTTCCCTTGAAAGAGAGAGGAAATGCTGCAATGCTGTAGTCTGACAACCACGCCTTTCCCTGGGTGTGTGGGATGCCCAGATTCAAGGCCAGTGAAACACACTGTGTGGCCGAGAGCCCCACTAACCCCTGTCAGCATCAACCATTCCACCTCAGTTCCTCCTAGTGCCTGATGTTGAGAGGGATCCTTTGATCTGTGGAAGGTGATTCATGTGCAACTCCATGGACAGTCAGGCAGTCCATAGAGAAAGTGGCTTGCTTCTGATAGTCCACAGCCTGTGGGGCTGAACAAGCCTATCCAGGTCAAAGTTAGCAAGGTACTCTTCTTTAAAACAGATTCCATCCAGTTACAGCTCTTGACTCATTCCTTGTGAGATGCTACCTCCTCTTCCCTTTTGTTCCCCCTGTTCCCAGGCAAAACCAACTGTGAAAACAATGCAGGTTAATGCAACACCTGTGAAAAGTGCATCTGCTGCTCCAGTGACCCTCAAGAAGAACGCAGTGAGGCAAACAGCAGTGGCACCAAACCAGGCCAAACCCACATCCATAACGGTTCCTGGGGCTGCAAAGCCCAATGACACATCAGAGAGCAGCGACTCATCAGACAGTGAAGATGAGGAACCTTCATCCATAACGCAAGTGTGTCTTTCTGAGACTCTTTTCTCTCCTTGCACACCTCTCCAGGGCTAGGAATTGCAATGAGAAGAACATTTTGTGAATCCATGTAGTGTGTAGCAAAGTCATGTTGGGGGTGGGAGGAAAGAGGCACGGGGTGTTTAAAGGCACCTCACTGTCTTTGCTCTGAGATTTAATCAAGCCATTGTGTTCCTCTCAAAAAAAAATCCATCAGTACTTTTAAATAAAAGAACCCCAGCAATTCTTTTCCCACCTGAAGTGGCAAATTGTCATGGTTGAATTTGCCTCTCAGCTATAAACTGCAATAAATCCTGTCTAATTTGTTGAACTGTAGTGCAGCTTAGCATCCCCACTGTGGAGAGCGCCAAGTGCTGCAGTGTACCTCACTGGAGGGGACTGGTAGTATCAGCAGGCTGATGGAGGATGTCTGGTCTTGCTTTCTCATCCTGGGAGACAATCCCCACACAGCTAGATGAAAGAATGCCTCGTGTCCTGCCAGTTGCTAACCTTCTTTCAGCATTTGCCTTTCCCAGGGGGCTCTGAAATCACTTCCCTTGATTACAGTCTGAATTATGTGAATTATGCAGCTGTGGGATTTGCCTTGTTTCACACTGTTCTTGTCTTGTCCAGACAAAGCCACCTCCAAAATCCTCCCAGGCCATCCCAACCCCAGTGAAAGCTACACCAGCAACATCGCTCTCTGGCAAAGCAGCTCCAGCAAAAACACTTCCACTGTCCCAAGGGAAACCAGCCCCAAAACCAGCAGTGCCAAAGCAGGCCAAAGCCACACGGGGAAGGACTGCTGCTCCCACAAAGCCTGCTGAAAGCACAAAGCCAGTGGAGAGCTCTGACTCCCCAAGCAGTGAAGAGGAGGATCTCCCTGTGCCTGTCAGCCAGAAGGTAGGTGATGCTGCCTTCAGCTCAGTGCCAAGGAATGGGATATGCAGGACAATTGTTAAATGCTACCACTGATCTTCTTGAAACACCAGTAGCACGTAGTATGTGGCATCTGTCCCTCAAAGGAAGATCTTTCTACATGGAAACAAGTGTAGCCTAACTCTTCTCGCCCAGGCATGCCAGAGGAGGGTGGGAGATGACCAACTGGTTCCCTCCACTCATACCTTGCCCATCTGGAGTGGGCCTCATATGTGGGGTCACAGATAGCTTGGTCTTGGTTCTCCTGGGAGGATTTGTTTAAAAATCTCTTGTGAGAAGGACCATGAACTGAAACTAAACTCAGACTTGGGTGGTTGAACTCACAAGAAGGCAAATCCCTTCTGAAAGCATCCTTAGACCCATTGTACAGCGACCTTCTGCACTGATTGAGCTGCAAGGATCTTTGGAAAGTGGCCTG